TATAAATTAAATCGTTCATATTTTAAAGTATATTTCTATTAACTGGAACATTAGAAATTTATAGAGATATATGAATACAAGAGCAGACCAAAAAAATTCAAAAAAAATTATTTCAGTTATTTTTCGAAATTGAAACAATTGTATCTGCTACTCTTTTGGGATGCACAGAAGCGAAAGTATTACTAATTGACTACATTTTTCTTCATCGTTTGCATTATTTGCCAATAACTTTTGTGCGTTCTTATGCTCTGGTTTCACAATTTTGTGAAATAGTTTTCTTATACTTTCAAAATGTCAAGTCAAAAGAAAATGTTTTCATTTTAAATGCTAGATAACAACAGAACAAATATATCAACAAATTGAAATCAACAAATTCATTTAATCAACAATTTAAAACCATCCTTTGCTAGTCTGTTTGCTGGCATTTAAATGGAAAAATTCCTACAACAATGCTGAAATCGTTATAAATACACAAAAATCTTAGCTTCATGTTAACAACAAAAAATACAAAATGCCAATTGCGAGCATTTGCTAAAATATTCCAACGATAAATTGTTAAGCATTGGCTTAAGATTTCAAAAATAAAACAATAATAATAATAAATAAATGTGTGTTGTTGATGATGTAATATTTAAAAATTAATTTGTATTTACAAATTGCATAATTATTATTGAAGAAAGCTTCTTGACTCCTTTAAGCTACAAAATTTGCTTCCCTCAAAAAACAATAGAAATACTCAGTTAATGCACATTGTTTGTTAAGCTTAATTTTTTGTGATGTAATATTTATTAATTAAATAATGCCATTATTATTATTAAAGCAAGCTTCTTTTATTTTAAATAACAATAAAAATAATATGTAAGTTAAGCTTACTAATTTTTTAATGTAATATTTAATAATTACGATATACATATGCCATAATTATTATTAAAGCAAGCTTCTTGATTACATTAATTTGCTTTCCTTATAAAGTTTTTTAGCTAAACACCTGATACCATTTAAAAAAAAATTAAAAATAATCAATACATTAGTAATTAATATACATATATTTACATAAATCTATATATGCCATTATTATTATTAAAGCAATCTTTCTGATTGCTTCAACATATTTGCTTCCCTTACGGAATTTGGTAGCGTAACTTAAATACATATAGTATGTATATGAAATAGAACTTACACAAAAAGATTAAATAATTACTACATTAATTACGAATAAATACTTGTTTCAACAGCGTTGTTATTTAATTTCTTCTCTAACTTACACGTATGTAAATGAATGTCGATCTTGAAATATTCGCATTGGAAATGCCTGGGGAATAAAGAAAGAGTTTCTCTGTGTTTCCTCTACTGAATTATCACTGCATGGGTATTTCGCCAGTCCCTGAAATGTTGTCTGCCTCCAAAACCAAGCAGCTGCTGTTGCGCCTCCTCGGCTTCTGATTCTAACGCCGCGCCATGCATTCCAAATTGTTTCTTGTGAAATGATATTCATTTGCAAGCATGCAACTCGCAGAAAGCAAATCGCAAAGCACACAGCAAGCAATTCACGCTCATTCATTCAATTTCAATTCAGTTGATCGCGACAAGGCCTGTTTGAGGCGAAGACGAGCGGATGTGAGTCATTCGAGCAGAGGCGGGCAGTCAAAACAAAAATGCGTCTGCACAGACACACGGACAAACACACACACACACACACACACACATCTGGTTTGTGCAGTCGTCATTGTCGGAGTCGTTGGAGTTGCTTGAGTCGTTGGATTCGTCGTAGTCGTCTAAGCAGTTTTTGTGCTTGTGTTTATTTTTTTAGTGTGACGCTTAATGCTTCACTGGGTCTTAGTTTGGGCCTGAGTCTTGATTCATTATACCCTTCAGTAAATAAGGGAGGGGGAGAGGAGGGGAACCACCCCTGGGGGCAACCCCCCAAACGCCCAAGCCAGGGCGGACACACGGATGAATTGCAAGCAGTGCTAGAGAGAAGAGGGGGGAACCGGACCAAAGCAGGCAGATAGGAGAGGATGGAGGCGGAAGAGGGATGGAGGAGGAGGAGGGAGGAGGGAGGGGAGGCAGGTAGGAGGAGGGAGGAGTGAGGGAAGAGGGAGGGAGGGAGGGAGGAGGGAGGGAGTAGGAGGGAGGAGGGAGGAGGAGGAGGGAGGAGGGAGGAGGAGGGAGGGAGGGAGGGAGGGAGGGAGGGAGGGAGGGATGGAGGGAGGAGGGAGGGAGGAGGGAGGGAGGAGGGAGGGAGGAGGGAGGAGGGAGGGAGGGGGGAGGGGGAGTGAGGGGAGGAGGGGGAGAGAGGAGGGAGAGAGGAGGAGAGGAGGGGGAGGAGGGAGGAGGGAGGAGGGAGGAGGGAGGAGGGAGGAGGGGGAGGGGGAGGAGGAGGGAGGAGGGAGGAGGGAGGAGGGGGAGGAGGAGGAGGGAGGAGGGGAGGGAGGAGGGAGTAGGGAGGAGGGAGGAGGGAGGAGGAGGAGGGAGAGGGAGGAGGGAGGAGGGAGGAGGGAGGAGGGAGGAGGGAGGAGGGAGGAGGGAGGAGGGAGGAGGGTAGGAGGGAGAGGAGGATGGAGGGGAGGAGGGAGGAGGGAGGAGGGAGAGGGAGGAGGGAGGAGGGAGATTTAGGAGGGAGGAGGGATTAGGGAGGAGGAGGAGGAGGTGGGAGGGTATTATTTTTATGATTATGGATTTATGTATGGTATTCTGTTATTATTATATTTATTATTATGTATTTATTATTTATTATTTATTATTTATTATTTATTATTTATTATTTAATATTTATTATTTATTATGTATTTTTTATTATTTATTATTTATTATTTATTTATTTATTTATTTATTTATTTATTTATTTATTTATTTATTTATTTATTTATTATTTATTTGTTGTCATAAAAACATATAAACATCGTTATAGCACATTAAAAAATAAAAAATAAAAGCCTTCTTAAAATAACAATTAATTAATTAAACATTAATATGTAGACACCATAACCATAGAGGGGTAGTGAATTGTGATAAAACATTCGGAAGGGTATACATTTCCTGCGCAGACTTCTTAACTCTTTCTCTACAATTGTCGCTTCTACTGCTTTATGGAGGAGTAATGTTATTCTGATAAAGCACTCTAAAGGGCATACAACTTCTGTGCGGACTTCTTAACTCTTTTCCTACAATTGTCCCGCTTGTCCAGCTTTGTGGCTGTGGCTCACAATTGGGTCCAAGAGCTTGTCAAGTCATGCTGCTAATGCTGTGCTGTTGCTGATCATCTTGTGTCGTTGATGTTGCCAAACGGTTAAGTGTGGCAAGTTCAAACGGTTAGAGCAACAGCACACACACAAACTACCGCTGAATTGTGCGTTGCCGTTGCGAGTGTGTCAGAGTTGCCAAAGGCACGACTGCTCCCTCTCCCAGCACTCTCTTTCGCTCTCGCCACGCTCAGCCACCCTCCTGTTGGCGACACACGAACTTCACGCACGACGCCAGTGCGGCAGGCACGATGGAAGAGGCAAATCGGTTTAGCTTTACCTTCAAGACTTCTCAGACTCAGTCGAAGTCGATAAATGCTGCCGGACGGTTGGGTTCGCGCTCTGCCGCCGTTCGTTCGTGTGTAACTTAATTTGTGGAAGAGCCAATGATTTGAGCCACCAGTGATGAAATCATAATCACGCCGAATGATGATCATGATGTGGATGATGATAATCATGAGCACTGTGTAGTGGCGAGGCAAAGCGGAAATTTGCTCAAAGTGAAACAGTTATAATCGTGTGAACGACACGCGTCTGAAAATCGATGAAAAGCAACCAAAAAATATATATATTTAAACAACAAAAAAAGTAAGAAGCACAAAAAAACCGACCTCGTCGTGATTTGCAATTGCGGTAAATGGATGTGAATGAAAACTCATAGCCTTACAGCACGTCCTCACACTCACTCACACACTTGTACACTCACACACACGCACACACACTGATAGAGGTGTGAGTGGAGATTTGTGCTTGGTCCGCAGACGAATGAGGCGAGACGAAATGTGAATATAAATATGAATATGAATGTTGGCGGCCAATGTGAAATGTGAAATGCGAATTTTGTGAATGTAACGTGCGAATGAAAATTAAAGCTTTGCGTGGCAAAATGCGCTAAGCAAACAGCAACAGCAACAAAAGCAACAGCAACAGCAACAACTAAAGCAACAACAACAGCGGCAGCGACGAAAAGCGAAAGCAAAAAAAAAGTTGTCGGGAAACGCGGCACAAGTTGCGTAAAAGCGTGAGGCAGGCACCAGCGTACGCTCGTTAGTCCCTTTTTTGTGAGCCTGCCTGGCCGTCCGCCTGTCCGCCCGTCCGCGTGCGAGCGTGCGTGCGTGCGTGCGTGAGTGTGGCGTACGTGTGCGCGTATATATGTGTGCGTGTGAGCCTTTCTGCTATCGCTCGCAACGGAAAACGATTATCATCTGCTGGCCTGTGACGCCCCTCTCGTTCCCCACGAGCCACTCACTGTCCGCCACCACCAAATTTCGGAGCCTAGTGTGGGGCTATAAATAACGGTGCGGCAGGCGCCGCTAATTACGCCAAAACATGAAAATATTCGCAACCAAACCGACAACAACATTAAATGTCTGCAGAGTGTCGAGTCTGCAGCCGACCAAGCCAAGGCAATTAATCAATTTTCCGGTTGGCCAATAATTTTTGAACATTTTCTTCCCCCTTAAAAAAAAGAAACGCACGAAAATAAAATAATAATAAAAGAAGAAGAATACAAACGAAAATTTCGTTGTGACGAAAAACGCAAACACGAAACATCTCTTCTTTTGCATTTGTGTTGTCTCCATTTTTTTCTGTTTCATTGTTTGTTGGGAAGCAAGACAAACGCGATGTTCTTTTAACATAATTAAAAAGGAAACACCATGACATAACAACAGCAACACCAAGAACAACTACAACTACATATATCTATGACTGAACACATATCAAAAAGCACATCTATAAGTCCGAGTCCAGAGGCTAGCAATATGCATATCAAGAGGCAACAACTCGGGCAGGTGGTTAGCCCGCAGCTGAGACTCACGGGCTGGGTCAGCTGCATGATGCTGATGCTCGTGCTGTTGTTTTTGCTGCAACTGCAACCCGCTAGCAGCAATCGGTACAATAGCAACAACAACAACAACAATGGCAACCAATTGCGGCTCTATGCCAGCGGCGGCAGCAGCAGCGGCAGCAGCAACATCAATGGACATGGCAAGCCCGCACATCGTGAGAACAGCAACAACAATCAGCACAATGAGGTATATCCGATAGCCGATAGTCAACCGATGACGGATGACTATATGGCGCCCTTTCAACTGCCCCACCAAAACCATCATGACGAGGTGCAGCCGCAGCCGCATTTAAGCAGCTGCCAAACGGTATGCGCCTGCAAGTGGAAAGGCGGCAAACAGACTGTGGAATGCATCGATCGTCTACTCATCCAAATACCCGAACATATAGATCCATCCACCCAGGTGCTGGACATGTCGGGCAACAAGCTGCAGACGCTCTCGAACGAGCAGTTCGTGCGCGCCAATCTGCTGAACCTGCAAAAGCTATATCTGCGCAACTGCAAGATCGGCGAGATCGAGCGCGAGACCTTCAAGGGGCTGACAAATCTGGTCGAGTTGGATTTATCGCATAATCTGTTGGTGGTGGTGCCATCGCTGGCACTCAGCTATATCTCGTCGCTGCGCGAACTAACGCTGGCCTCCAACCATATACACAAAATCGATGCAGAGGCCTTTGCGAGCACACCGGCGCTGCACAAATTGGACTTGTCCCACTGTGACATACAGAGCATATCGCCGCAGGCCTTTGCAGGACTCCAGGGCCTCACCTTGTTGCGCTTGAATGGCAATAAGCTAAGCGAGCTGTTGCCCAAAACCATAGAGACTTTGAGTCGCCTACATGGCATCGAGTTGCACGATAATCCTTGGCTATGCGATTGTCGACTAAGAGACGCCAAATTGTGGCTCATGCAGCGCAACATACCCTACCCGGTGGCACCTGTATGCTCGGGTGGCCCCGAGCGCATCATCGATCGCACCTTTGCCGAACTGCATGTGGACGACTTCGCCTGCCGGCCCGAAATGCTCCCCATCTCGCACTATGTGGAGGCTGCGATGGGCGAAAATGCTTCGATAACCTGTCGAGCTCGCGCCGTGCCCGCGGCCAGCATTAATTGGTACTGGAATGGACGCTTGCTGGCCAATAACAGCGCCTTCAGCGCCTACCAACGCGTCCACATGTTCGAGGAACTGGGCGGCTTTGAGAAGCGCTCACGTCTCGTGCTCACCAATGCGCAGGAAACCGACTCCAGCGAATTCTACTGCGTCGCCGAGAATCGTGCGGGCACGGCCGAGGCAAATTTCACGTTGCACGTGAGCATGCGGGCGGCGGGCATGGCCTCCCTGGGCAGTGGCCAAATAGTGGGCATTAGTGCTGCACTGGTCGCCCTCATAGTCTTCGCCCTCGCCGTGGCCATGTGCCTGCTGTTGCGTGTCAAGCGCCAGCCCTATGCGGACAGCAAGACGCCCAACCACATGGAGGTCATCACGTCGGTGAATCACCAGAATTCCATCACGAACAAGACACAACCGGTTACGGGCAATGGCAGTATTGGAGGCGTCGTTATTGCCAATGGTGCTGTGGCCAATTGCATCGACGGAGCTGCCGGCACGCTCGAGCGCAAGGGCAGCGGGCGTGGCCTTGCTGTAGGTGGTGGCAGTGGTGGTAATGGCGCCAGCCTTAACCTTATGGAGCAGCGCAGTGCAAACCCTGTGCAGAAGCCGCCCAGACTCACGGATCTGCCCTACTCCACCAATAGCTATGAGAATGCTGGCAGTGTGCTGTCCACGGCCAGCTGCTTCATCTCGCCTACGGCTTCGGCGGGCAACAATCCGGATCTGATCAACGATACGAAACGCTTTGGCAGCGACGAATATGTCGATTTGAAGGTGCCTACCATATTGTCGGCCGAATTGGTGGGTGTGGCGAATGCTGCTGCCTCCAGTGGTGAATACAGTCGGGCAAATGGCTGCGATTCGCTCTACCCATCCGGCCTGTGGGAGCATACGCCGGCAGGCGCCAGTTCCGCGGATGATCTATTCCTCAAACGCTACACGGACAAGACGCCCATCATAGACTCCACACAGCTGTACGATCTGCACGAGCGCTCCACGGACTACTTCAGCAAGACGTTTCCACGCACCCACTTCAATGCAACTCTTCAGCAGGCGGGCGGCGCCGGAGGGACTGGACAGGCGCAGGCCAGCTGCTCCACTTCGGGCTCTCCCCGACCTAGTGGCGCACACTCGACCACCTCGACGGCTACCACCAATCTATCCGGATCTTCAGGCTATCCCAACGACTACGGCCTGCCGTTGGTGCCAGGCGCGGAGCACCAGCACAATCATCTCCTACAGATGCATCCGCTGCAGCAGCTTCAGCAGCAGCTCAACTCGACGCTTAATCACAGCGGCAGCGGAGGAGGCAGCGGCGGCGGCAGCACGCACAGCAGCCCACACTTTAGCAGTCGCACCTTGCCACGACTTCACGATGCGGGCGGCGGCGGCGGCGGTGGCAACTCATCGGCCTCCTCATCTCCACCGCCAGCACCTGCCAGCTCCTCCAGTTCCTGCTCCATACTGCCCAACGGGCAGCCCATCAATGCGAAGACAATACGCGTCTGGCAGAAAGGGGGCGTGCCGGTGCTGCCGCCCGTAACGGCTCTCAAACGCGCCCTCATCAGCAGCAGCCGCAACTCTCCCGACGAGGGTTACCAGGAGGGTTGTGGCACCGATGTCTAAACACCAGCCACCCGATTCCTGCAGAATGAACTGACTAAGCTTAACGACTATAAATTTTTTTTTTTTTTTCTCTCTCTCTGTAAAGTAGTAGCATCGAGATTCAAAGATTTATTACGAGTACCGGCTGGTTGCATATCGGGCGAGCGTGAGGAGAGTGAGGAGCGTGAAGAGCGCGCGAAGCGAGCGAAGAATTGTTTGTGATAGTGTCTGATAAAAGATAAAGCGAATGAAGATAATAAAACTAAATAGAAACTGCACTCAAGCAACTGCAAATGAAACTGCAAATGCAAAATGTAAAAGTAACTAAAGTATACTTCTAGGCCTAGACGACAAACCCTAGGCATTAACCCTAAACAAAACACTACAACTAAAGGCTAAGCGCAAACTTAAACTAAACTTAACTAAACATACATTGTAAATAACCAGACCGAGTAACAAAAAAGCTGAAAACAGAAGACAGACAACATGCCTCCCCACTTTGAAATGAAAACCCTCAACAACAATAATTGCAACAAAAACACAGCAGCAACTGCGACAACAACAACATGAACAAGTAAAACTCCAAGTAAATTACAAGTCTAGCCTCATGTATGTAAATGTAGCTAAATGTAAACCTAAATGTTGCTCCAACCATATGTGTGTATTTCTCCAAATTGGTGTGTGTGCGAGGATGCCTGTGCTGGTGTGTGTTTGCCTAACTCTTGTCAAAGGCACAAATGGGCGAACCAAATGGGCTGCCAAGAGGGAGGGGAGTGAAGCAAATAAGCAAGTATGTAAGTTACAGTCAGATGGCAAATTAACAAAAATATAAACTATAGTCGTATATATTTTTAAAAGCCCAGGCTACAGCAAGTTCTAACGAAAAGCACTGACTACTAATACAAAGAAGCAGCGATGAGAGAATGGGAATAAAAGAAAGAGCACATTTAATAAAAAAAAAGAAACAACATTTGTAAAGAAAGTAAAAAAAAACTATCCGTGTAATTGTATATAGTAGTTATGCCACAAGATAGACAGAAAGCAAATTACAGATCCTAGGATGAGTTCACACAGACAAGACTAGCGATCCAAATCTATTAGGTGTCTTTCCGTTTCCAAAATAAATAAATTGCATTTTAAGATTCTTCCTTCTCAGTAACTTGTAACGCCCTTAAACTGCCCAATATTTATAATTTAAACACAAACTGGCACAACATTTCTTTTATAGTTTGTTATTTACTAAGCAAGTTTTAATATATAGATACGTATATAAGTTCAACATTTTTGGTTTTTATATTAATTTTGCAAGTGACCTTCAAGACTGTGCATCGATAGATTTTATAACGTCATATATTTTTTCCCATTTTTAATGTGAACTTATGTATGTATTATATACAGCAGAATCTGGAAAAAGTTTACCAAAATGTCCCCAAGGTAATTAACTTTTTTATTAAGTTTTTATCATTTCAAAAAAGACTTCGTTATTCAATTCAGACAACGGAATGTCGTCTTCCCTATCACATTGATCATTATCCTCATTTTTTATCTTAATCCACACCTTTGTAAGAGCAGCTTGCGGCAATTTATGTCACACTGATTTAATTAGCAAAATATTATCACGAATTGAGCGTGCCTTCAAAATATTTCCCAGAACACTAGAACATTTTCCTGTGCGAACATTTTGCATAACAATTTAGTTCAATATCCTAACTTATCCAATCTAATTGGATTTTCAAACATTGGCTACAAAGCTGCTGTTGCATTAGGAGGTAGAAGCATTACAACAATGTTTCCATCATCAGACGATATTGACAATTGGCTAATGCGCAGTTCAGTTATCAATCAGCAATAATTGCTTTGCTATTAAAGAATTTTCTGCAGAAAATTTGCGAACTTCAAACGAACGTCTTAAGTAAAAATTTCAAAATAAGTTTACATGTTTTATAAATGAATGATAGAACCAGTCTTAAAAAAAACAGTGAATTCATCCACGACTTCTTCGAATTGGCGTATTCTAATGGGTTATCAAATCCCTTAAAGCAACATGGGTTCACGAATTTTACTAATCACCAACGGCTTCAACTTGTCAGGGCCGAAATGTGTTTCTTTTCTCTACAATTTGTTGGCCTGGTGCGGTCTTTTCGTTTGTTATGACAAACATTCTACCTCTTAAAAAATAAAAGCAGTAAAAGAGTCCAGATTCATCTGCGTCATATAGTTGTGAGTCGGAAATGTCCGCTTCATCAATTTTCGATCGTAAATTATGTAGAAAATGGGTTACATCCGAATACCATGCCTTTCCCTCAAAATTTGCAGCCATCCATCATTCACTTTAGAAACAAACAAAAAAAAACTGTTGATTTAAAAAATGCATATGCCCAGAAAAGTTAACTGAAAAGATTACTTTTTAGAACGGCACGTGGCAGTTGACATTTATTTTAAGCGAGTAATCTTTTTCGAGATCCTACTGTACTTAAACCCAAAGAAGTTACATCGTCTGCCATTCACAAGAATATTGCTCCATTTTCCACGTGAAACTTTTGGAAACTTTCTAAAGCCACAATATACACTTTGATTTCGCTGTCTATGCCAGCTTTAAAGCCTTTTTCTGAAGAAAATTAAAACAAAACTTGAGGAATACATTAAAGGTATCAAAAAACTAATTTAATCAACAATTAAGAAAGTTTTGAATAATCGACTGCCAACGGATGGAAGCTCTCAAAACATTGAGCAGCTTTTTTGTTTGACTATTTGGTCCAAATTGGAATGGAATAGTGCTGACTGTAAAGTATTTAAACTACTTTTCTGATACATCATCTACTTCATTTTATCTTTAAATAATTTTTTTGCAGTTACTGCATAAAGAAAGCTTTCTTATAAAAAACAGTACTGACTAAATAATTTTCTTTTAGCATTTACTGCATAATGAAAACTTTCTTATAGAGTACTGATAAATTTAGTCTTCCGTCTGACTATCACAGCATGAGCTCGAAAAAATTCCTTCATCAGTTCAATAATGGCGGCACTAGAGATCCTTTAAGGTGTACTGCCGCATTATTTTCGACAAATGTAAGCAAAATGTTCACAGCTATTTATTTAATTGCTTAAATTGATTTTCAAACTTGCACAATAAGTTCAAAAATTTTCTTAATATTAGAGTATTTCCTTGTCGTATAACTTATCTGTGTGAACTGGGTCAATATCTAAAAACTATTGTTCAAAATGATTTTGGGCAGTCAGCGTGCTAGAACTGAAAGAAACAAACAGCTACATATATAGACAGAGTTATGGCAATGTTGTTAGGGAGCACGCAAAACCAAAAAATAAAATAAAAAAAAGATTTAAGTAAAAGTGTAAAATTGTCAAGTTGTTAGCTAAAATAAAAAGGTTCGCGTTCAGAAACTAAAACAAATTAGAAAAACTGTTCCTACTCTCTTCCTTAACTTAAACATTTCAGTCTTGCGCTTCCTTCAACTCAGAATTAATTTAATAAAGATTATATAGTAGATTATATTTTGCTACACATGAAGTTTCATTCATTTTTTATATTTTCCTACTGTCGAACATGAGTTAAATTAGCTGTACAAACAGGCTTTTACAATTCTTGAAGCATAATTATGACAAACATTAATTGTAAATGAAAAGAAGTTGCATTCTTACTGATTCTATAATTTATTGAATAGTTTCAAGTTGGTTTCAGTGTCTGGACGCACCTTAAGGCCCTTCAGGCATTAGGAGTTTAAGCGCGTGAAGAAATTTCAATGGAAAATAAGCAGATTCATCGATTCATACGTAAACAAACATATTATGTAAATGCATGGCTGAGCTAAAAACAAACTCACACCCTTACAACACCAATAACAACAACAACAACATGAAAAGGTACTCCAAGTACATACACACCAACACACGTTCACATTACACACACTAACAAAAACACGGCGCATAAATTTGAAATATATACATACATATATCACTTCATCATACACCGAATTGGATGTATGCCTGTATGTACTTAGCCTAAATAAATACTTTAAGCAAACAACAGAAAATGAAGGAAAAACAAAATAATAATATTTTTAAGGTAAACCAAAGACTTTTTCTTTGCATCTTAATGAGAGGGAAAATAAATAAAGTTAATTAAAGCGGCAAAAATCGTAACATATAAGCTACTATTACTGTACTGTATATTAATATAAATACACACACATACATATAAATATATAAATATATATATATATATATATTATTATTACATATAGTGTTAGAGTACTTCTATGTATGAGAGCAAGAAAAACTGGCTACTGAGAGCAGAACAAAGCAAAGAAATATATATACATAACATATATATATGCATATATATATAAAACAAAATTAACGAAAATTGCGCTTGTCATTTCAATCTTTAGAGTTTACAGGTGGATTCCATGTAAGTATGTACTCTTCTACACAAGTATTTAGGTATTTATGTATGCTTATGTGTGTGTCTGTGTGAGTGACCTAATTAGAAGGGATTGCCACAAAATACCCCAGAGCGCGCCGATGTCATTTAGCTGCTGCGCTTTTGTTGTTAGCCGCTGTTGCATATTAAGGCCAATCGTCTAATCGCCAATTATGCAGGGAAGACACCCCCTACAGCAACAACAGCAGACACAACTACACTCAACAAAATAAGTTGCATACTTTTGCCACTAAATTTAAAAAGTCCGTGAACCTCGCCAAAAATAAATACTTGAGTAGTAGGTCGCAAATTAATCCTCGCTTCAGCAACAACCTGAGAGATTTTAATATTTCTTTAATAGCAAAAAACAAAAACCTTAGAAGAGAAGAAAATCGTCGTTTTGGTTACACCAAAGTAGCTTTCTTCATCTTCTCTTAGTAAAAACTCTTCGTAACTATAAAATATGTATTTTCCAAAATCATTAAACTATAACTATAATAAATGCATGACCAAATTGTATTCATATTTCCATACCCAAAACCTCAAATCAGAAACAGATTAACTCCGTTTTAATAATAGGAAAATTTAATTTTCAGATGAGCCCGACAAAAATTATTTTCCTTGGCTTTATATAAAGTCAGCTTTTAGATAAACCCAACAATGCATAGAGTTTCCGAATCAGATTCACTCCGTTAATAATAGGAAAAAATAACTTGCAAGTGACACCGATGTAAATTATTTTTCTTGTCTTCCTATAAAGCTCGTGTTTAGATAAAAAGAATATTGCTTAACATCAATCTTAAATAAAATAAAATAAAATAATTACAAGCAAGCGTTTTGCCTGTTAGCCTACATCCGGGTAACAACGTTTTGTCTGGCAAGTGTCAACAAACAGTACTTAAAGTCTTAAATACAGTTTACCTAAATAAGGATATATGCTAACAAATTCAGCAGCTACCAAGCTTAAGCTTAATGTAAGGAAAAAGAAGAAACTTCTCATTTTTTTTCCTTAAAACTATATTTCTTTCTACTTGTAAAGCACATAAAAGCAACGCACCCAAAAAGCGACAAACAAGTTGTAGAGCGAATGTACTATACTTGTAATGATGAGTCCAATGAGTCTTGGCTTGTGTGTCAGCATTAAAGTTTTCTGTTAAATTACTAAATTCTTGCTATACCTGTTGACCTAGAACAAGAAATATTTGTTTGCTTAGGTGCATACAAGGATTTTTAAGCAAAATGCCTCAATATTACGAGGTATATGAAACCATGACCATATTTTTCTCAATATATATAAAGGAGATATATGAAGTAATTATGAATTCTGTACAGCACATTAAAGCATTGCTGGATACCCGCTTTGTGAGCTTAACACTATTGAGGATTAATATTAAAAGACAGCCACCAGCTTTAATAGGAATTTTTGGAAATATTGCAAACATTTTGTTCTGTGTTTTTGGTGTTAAAGGCAACGACATAATCGATATGTATAATGAGCAGCCAGACAGTTTGCAATATCGTCCAGGTAGAGCTGCCCCCATATGCTTAGCCATACACAGCGTGTAATAAATACACACACATATAGTATATCTATATAGCCACAGATTATATCAGTTTTGTGTGCCTAACGCCGCCATGCACGCCAAGCTGTCTGACTACGGCCGCCCGCACCCTTCATGCATTCCTTTCCACAAAGCGGCAGGCGTCTTATTGGCGATGGCGATGACGACGACGCGCAAAGTTTGCCAACTAAACAAGTTTTGTGCCTTAAATGAAATTTAGGTTGCAACCGAAGCCCAACAAAAGCTAAAAACAACAACGAACCTAAACAAC